CTCAGGTGTTTTAGCTGTAATATGGGAATAGATGTGTTGTGGAAAATGCCTAACATCGTACAGATAATATTCATTCTGGTCCCTTCCTTTTTCATTTACTCTACTCTCTCTGTTATGACTGTAACAAAAGCTTCCCATAAACCCTTTACTCAGATTCACGAATTTTTATATTTTCTCTATTTGCTTTACTAAAAAAATATCTACATAATTATTTTCTGAACCACCTGAGAGTGAGTTTCAGACATTGTGCCCTTTTATCCTAAACAATTCAGGGTCGAGTTCCTGAAAACAGGGACAGTCTCTTACACAGCTCAGTACGACTGACGAAACCAAGCACCTGCCTTCCGACCTCTGATGGCTGTCTGAGGCCATCAAAGGCCGGCTCGACCTCCTCCGGCCTCCGTGCTCTTCAGGTCGGCCCTGTTTCCTTGCTCCCCATTTCCTGACAGCGGAGCCTATCTGTCCGTGTCCTCTTGCAAGCAGGGTGTCCATTCATTCAGCAAACGTTCACCGAGTGTTCACTGGGTGCTGGGGTGGAGCAGGAAGATTTAAAGATTCCCTTGACTCCCCTTCCCCCCTACTCTCAGGACCATGGCACTTGTTTTTCCAGTCAGTGTTCTGGCCTCCCAGGCTGTCAGCATGACTCACAGTGGTATCCAGCTGGTTTCCTTCTACTCCTCCCCATTCCCACTGGTACAGACGGAAGTGACATGTTAGTCCCCCTCTCAATCAGGTAGAGACGATTGGAGACGCCTACATGGTGGTATCTGGTCTCCCAGGCCGCAACGGTCAACGCCATGCCCCAGAAATTGCACGTATGGCCCTGGCATTACTGGACGCAGTTTCTTCCTTCCGCATTCGCCACCGACCGCACGACCAGCTGAGGCTACGCATTGGGGTCCACACGGGTAAGGCTGACTCTCGCTCCAGCCCCGGCATCCACTGTCCCCAGGCTCTCCAACCGGTTTCTTCTCACAGGACCCGTCTGTGCTGGGGTCGTTGGCCTGAAGATGCCTCGCTATTGTCTTTTTGGGGACACAGTGAACACTGCTTCCCGAATGGAGTCTAACGGTCAAGGTGAGACACGAGCCCTTAGTCCCAGCCTCAGTCTCAATTTGTGTTGCCCTTTTGTTCTTTTCAGAGTTTCTCCAAATCTCTCAGTCTGAGACCACAGTTCCTGGCTGCCCCGTCCTGGGACATGTTTAGGTTCTGGTGCATGTGTGCTGGGAAGACAGAGAGCGTTCTGACAGGTGGCGGTTGGGTAAAGCTCTCTCCAACACCACCGATTCTTCTGTTGCCTTTTGTCTTCTTCTTTCCGTCATCCCCCCATCCCACCCCAGCCCTGAAGATCCACGTCTCCTCCACCACCAAGGATGCCCTGGATGAGCTAGGATGCTTCCAGCTGGAGCTTCGGGGAGATGTGGAGATGAAGGTGATGGCAGACCAAGGGAAAGGGGGCATGGAAAGGGAGGAGGAAAGTGATTATGAAGATCACTGTATGGGAAGAGAGGGAGATAAGGGGAATAACATAGAAGAATCTGAATTTTATCTACTCCTCTGCTGGCAGGGAAAAGGAAAGATGCGAACTTACTGGCTCCTAGGAGAGCGGAAAGGACCTGCTGGACTTCTGTAAACTCCAATTCTTTTCAAGTCAGATAATCTCCTGCTGCTGGTGCCTGGGTAGGCAGTGGCTATCATCTCTCCATACACCAGAAATGGACCTTGTCATATGAGACGGAAATCACCCTTATGTGGAAGTTGTTGACCTTTGCAGCTCAGCCTTGTACATATGCCTGTCCCTCTCTGGCCTGGTCCCCTTCTTCCCTACCTTCTGTAAATATCTGTATCTAAACCAGAATATTTTGGCCAATTATAAAAACAACAACAACAAAACCCATGATGTCACAGTCAGAGCAGCTCTAAGGCAAGGTGTTGGGGTTACGAACAAAGCAACTCAGGGAATCACTGAATTGGCAGACTCAGAATCAGAAAGAATCCTTTATGTAAAACCCCTTCACCAAGTACAAACAGAATTCATTTCCTCCCCACCTCTCCAGTACAGACAGAACTAGACTCCATATTCCACATTTCACTCCCCTCCTCAAGCCTTAGACACTTCTACCCGCTCTGCCACCCTGCCCTCTTCCCTGACAGCCAAGGGAAGAGATTTCTCCCAATTGGTAGGAATAATTCTCAAGTTCATAGGGCAAAGGCTGCCCCAGGGACAAAGGCACTGGTGTGGAGAAGCTGCAGTTCTTCCGGAATGGCGTGTCCAGTGTCCTGATGTCACTGACACCCTGTAGGAATGCAGAGTGAGGACAGATCCTACTCTGTGAAGCCAGCAAAGAACCTCTTCCTTCCCTCTTACCCCACTCCTCCCAACAACTAGGCACACACCGGTAGCTGTGGTGCCCGCTGTATCCAGAAAGTTTCAGGCTGCTCCTTACGGTAGTCATGAGGCTGTGAGGGAAAAATAACTGTGTAACTTTTGGCCTGAAGCTTCCTCTCTCAACCTCTGGGTCTACTGCTTTCCCACAGCCCCCCAGAACCCTGCTGTACATGGTGGGTGGGATGGGTTCTCACCTTAGTTGGGGCAGGAGGCCCTGCCTGCGCTGGCTCCTTTTGGTAGTCACGGTGTGTCACAGACTCGGCCTCAAAGTGCTCCCTTGTGGGTTCCTGCTCAGCCTGCACCTCTTTACTACACAGTGACGGGGGCGTCCAGGCCATTCTCCCCTGGTTTTTGTCCTCCCCCTCCCCCTCCTCCTAACCCAGCCTCTCACCAGATCTGGTGGCACAGGAGCATCTCCAGCATGGCTTCACGCTTCCCTGTGGGAGGGCAGGGAGTGAACAGAGCAGGGGCGACTGGTTAAGCAGCAGGCCCAGAAGAAACAAAGTTGAGAAAAGGAAGGAAAGTCATGGGGTTTTGCCCTTATACCCACTGGACAATCCATAGTCCCACCACACATTCCTTCCTCTCTTTTTCCCCTGACTGTTGGACTCATTCTGGCCCATTCCCTCATGCTTCACACCTCTCATTGGCTGAAAGCGGTTTTCTGGGGGCTGGTAGGAGTCTTTCTGGGTGGTGCTGAAAGGCATGGGTGCCTGTAGCTGCAGGGTTAGCAGTCCCTGGTGTCCATGTCGGAAATAGAAACTCTCGGAGCCATCCTGCATGCTTGGGACTTGATCCAGGTGGTTGGTGGCTCTCTGTGGGCCCCAAGTTGAGTGATCATGATGTCCTTTCTGGTCCCCACTCCCATTACACACTACTGCCTCCCCCAGGGAACTGGGGGCAGCCTTTAGGAAAAGGGAGTAGGTCAAAACCTTAATACCTCTTCCTCCCAGTTGTAGAGAAGGCACTGGCCCCGTGGTATTTTGCTGAAAACCTCACACTTCCCTTCAACCTTGAGGGGCTTCCAGAGCCTTGGGGCAGTAGGTTCTGAAACTTGCAAAAATTTCCAGTGTTGTTTCTCAGGTTCCCAGTGTTGGTAGTAATTTTCAGAGGCATAATTAGGGACTAGGTCTGACCCCGGATTTCTGAAGCTTGTAAGAGTGCCAGGGCTGAGCTCAGGGCCATTGCCACAGCCTGGACTAAGCCCAGAGTCACAGGCAGGACCACAATCAGAATCAGGACCAGCGCCTTGACCAGCGCCATGGCCAGGACCAGAACTGGAGGCAGGTACAGGGCCAGCATTACAGCCAGGGCCAGGACCAGGGCTAGAGCTAAGTTCATTTATAGTACAGGGATCCTCAGCAACACCGGAAACGCAGACAGGCTTAAAGCCAATTTTCTCATGGCCTATCTTGTGGGTAAAGTCGGGTCCGGTGCAGGGTTTCCCAAGAAGACTGTCAGAGGTGGAATCCATAAGAAGGCTTTGCTCAGAAGAGGATGCTTCAGTCTTTGCAGATAATACAGCTGCTTTGGCAGTGGAGGCAGCTGCTGTGGTTGCAGCTGCCGGGGCCGACCTAGGACCGCCATCGGAAGAAGGAAATGATTCTGAAGAGGTCCCCAGTCCTTGAGAGCTGGGCTGTACGTTGAAAGATCTGAAAGAGAGTGAATGCGTCAAAGTTGTGAAAAGCTCAGCAGAAGAAGTCCGCAGACTTTTCTCGTCCCCTACCGCCTGCAGCCAGAGCAGCAGCTCTCACCGCGACTGCGATCCCTTGGTAGAATCAGAGGTCTCCATCTTCAGACACCAGCTACCCGGTTACCATAGAGATGGCAAATTATTCCAGGAGACTGCGCAGAACCAGAGCTGGGCGGATGTGGAGAGGCGGGGTGGAGTCAGGTGGCCTGCGGTGCGGAAGTCTTAAACCTGACGTGGTGTCAGAAGTGTGCTTTTCCGTCCGGACTCCATTCCGTCTCATCCCTGCCTTTCAAGGTTCCGCTGATCTAAGGCCTCGCCCTTCATACCTAAGCATGATTCTTTGAGACTTTCTAAGGTGGTCGTGTTGGAGATAAGCACAAGGCTGTGATTATCAGACCAAAAGCCTAGTGTATTTATGTGGGGTGTAATAGTAGCTTCCTCTCAGCTCATTCTCAAAGGGGGGGGGGGCGTTTTCAAACATTTTGATGATGAAACCCTTCAGACATCTTAAAGGCAAAATGGTGAGACAGGAATTAGAGGGTAGCAGCTTTTTGCGGTGTGTGATTAATTTGCACCCAATAAAAGGGCCTCACATTGGCCACCCCCTTTTCAAACCCTCTTATAACTTGGATTGGCAGCTGGATAAGGGCCAGGATTGTGCACATCTCACTCCTGGGATTCAGTCTCTTCATACTCATCGAGGTATATTCCTACTGCTATTTATCTAGAAGCTTGACACAGGTGGATCGCTAATTGTGACGATTTACAGATCTATAGGCAAGTGTGCCTTTAACTACCATATGGGCCTCATTTGTGTCTCTCACTCAAATCATATTCAGAGGGGATCATCCCCTGAATCAATTTTCTTTACTATTTGTGGTATAAATCTATCTATATATTTATGACAGGGACCCAAAATTGAGGGAGAGCAAGTTTATTAGCGTTACACGGTCCCTTTCCCCCTACCCCATCCAAGCGTCCAGGTCTGGAGTCCTTAGCCAGTTGGTAGGTTCAACCTGGAGGCCACTTGAGCTGTCGGCCCCCAAGTACATGAATGTGCAGGTGATACACAGATTGTGCTCCCAGCTTCCCATCGTTGATCACTGAAACGAAGCTTGGGGTTAGTGAGTTAAGATCATGGGAAAGGCCAAAGAATGAAGATCATATTGAGAAGTATTTATGAGAATTCATCGGTAAGGGGCTCAAGGGCCAAGCCACTCACCAAGTCGGTATCCATCTCCCAGACCCTCAGCCTTTGCTGTCTTCTTGGCCACAAGGAGAAGGTGTCCTAGAAGCTACAGGAAAAGGGGAGGGAGACAAGTGGCTTTATTTACAAGGAGCAAAACCTCTAGCTGAATCCAGGACTTCCCCCAGCCAAACTCTGGCCTTATTCTTCCCACCTGCTGGTCTTCTTCTTCAGCTTGGCTAATCCGAGGAATGGGCTTCTTGGGAATGACCAGGAAGTGCACAGGAGCCTGAGGGGCTACATCACGGAATACTAGACACTGGGAACGGTGACAGGCCAGAGACCACTATATTATTTTCACAGGCGAAATGGTTATCTGTGAAATTCCTATAGGGATGGGTCCTAAGGGCACCCCACCTGCTGGTCCTCATATAGAATATCAGCTGGGAGGCTGCGGTCCAGGATCTTGGAGAAGATGGTTGGGGCCGTTCCCCCAGGAGCTGCCTGCTGGGCCTTGGCCACTTCATTCCCATCATTCACACCTGCAGCTCCACGGACCTGAAGGTGGGTCAGACACACCCGAAGGAGAGTTGGTAATACCTCTCCCATGTACTCAGTTGGGGCTGGCAGAGGCTGGGCTCTTGATAGCCATTAACTTCACCCTTCTAGGAATCTGTTAGTATTTCCTACCCACAGGAAAAGCCCCTCAATTTCAGAGCATCAGCAGCAGAGAGTAGGGCCAGAGAGTGCTGGGCCTGGTTAGATAACGGGTAGTATCGCAATGTAGGATTTAGGATTTTGGTTGATTTCTTCTAAAGTATCTAGGAAATCTAGCACTGTTCAGGGAAAGGATGCAAGGTGAGAACCTGGAGACTTAGTTCCCAGTTCCTATTAGTGATTTGCCTTCGATAAATCCTTTTTCTTGGCTGCAAATGTAAAATAAAGGAAGCGGTTTGCACCATCTCTTAATACCACTTGGACTCTTTCCACATACTCTCATCTTGTTAATGTTGCTACTTATTTCCATTACTTGTTTTCTGATCTTTAAGCCATGTTACCTGTCTCATTCAGGTTTTAATAAAATTGCCTTTTGACACAAGGGCCTCTGGGTATCACATTTGACCTCCTACTGTGAATTTAACTGCAGTCCCTTGAATCACTGTAAGAGTCCAGTTAAGTGGACTCAGCCCCAGGGAAGAGGGTAGGAAAGTCCATGTTTCCCAGGGACTCAGAAAGGCTGAAGTTAGTGCTGTCACGTTGTGAGAGAAAAGGACAGGATGAATCTGACCCCTCTAGTCTCTCTGGCAAGTCGGGAAAGATGAGAGGTTAACACTAGTACTCAGTAGAAGGCCAGGGTCCCAAAGGAGGGCGTAAGACTGGCTCCGATATAAGAAAGAACTTGTCCTACAGGGGGTCCTAAGGGGGCTGCCTGGTGGAGGCTTTCTGTCAGAAGGGCTTCTGGCAGGTTTAGAAAAAGGCAGCAGCCGCTGCACTGGCCCTGTCCAGACCTCGGCGCCCGGGCTTTGCAGGACGTCGGTGGTTGCCAGTTCGCTTCTCCTGCGTCCAGGCTTTTGGAGAGGAGCTGCGACCACCAGTCCAACCTCACGGCGCAGCTCCGGAGCTTGCACTTTGCGCCCCGTCTCAGCGAGGCCGCAGGGTTGAGCGCATCTGGGGGAGCCGGGGAGGAACGTGGCCTCCGGCCCTGGAGGGTGTCAGAGCCCGCAGGACCCCTTCCTTGCCCCTACAGCCACTTCTCACCTGCGCCCCCCGCGGCCCCGCGACCGCCACAACCCTGTGCGCCACGCGCAGCCCCGCGGCCAACACCATGGCCGCCGCCATCTTCTCCTCCGCCGCGGAAACCCAACAACTGGGCGGGCACTCGGGCGCCAAGGCAGGCCCGAGGTGGGTGTGGCGGTACCTAGGAGCCACTGGGCGGCGGCCATTGGTCCCGCCAGCCTTGCGGGGAGGGAGTCCTGCTATCCCATTGGGTTGCGTTTCTGGCCCTGCTTGCTGCCCCTTAGCTCAGGGGCGTGGCTGAATCTTTTCATCCCATTGGTAGCTTTTGCCAGCTGGGCGATTTTTTTCACTCCATTGGCTTGTCTTTCCAGCGTGAACGACCTCTTTCCATTGGATCCCCTAACTAGTTTTCCTATGGGATAGTTTCTCACAGAATTGGAAGGAAAGAGAGACCAAGTGGTGGATTTCCCCCTAATTGGCTGTGATACACGCAGTGGGCAGCTTCTGGTTGCAGCGCTCCAGTTCAGGTCTGGCCCCTACTGCTGGCCTGGGAGGGAAAGGGTGGCGCTCCTGTCACCTGCCTCACAAATCCTGTAAGATTGTAGGCCAGCAGTTTTCCACCTTTTTATCTCATTGCACACATAAATTATTAAAATTCTGCGGCACACCAAAAAACATATTTTTTAGCGATCTGACAAAAAATGATATAATTTTGACTCATTCACACTAGACATTGTTATATCTGCTGTCATTTTTTTTCTGTCATTTTTTAATTTGACAATCTAAGGGAAGAGGTTATGATGCCTAACTATATAGTCAGGTACAGAATGCTTTAGAAATTCTTTCGGCACACCAGTTGAAAATGGCTTGTTGTAGACCCTTCCTGACGTTGGTCTGGAGGAGGGCAGGGTTCTGAAGGCACTCAAGTCTTATTGGCTCCAGGAACCAGCTAACCCCAGGAACCCAAGGCCTTAGGGCCTTCAGAAAAAAGAGGCCGGTTGAGCACACCAGGTGGGTGGGGCTGAAGGTGAACTGGGACAGAGTCCATTTTTTAACTGGAATAACTATGTTCCCCACCAGGGCAGTTTCAGACCACTGAACATTTCAAAGATTTTAACATACTCATCTAAGGCAGCAAAGCTTGTCAACCTTCTTCCTCTCATGGAACGCATAGACTAATTTCGAGAACTCTGTGGCACACAAAATAATGTTTTATTTTTTGCCAATCTGACAAAAATAGGTATAATTTTGATTCATCCACACCAGACAGCCATTGCTGTGTTGGCTATCCTCATTTTACTTGTCAGTTGAAGGGAAAAGAGGTCAGTGTCCCTGACTAAATAGTCATGTATTGAATGCTTTAAAAATTCTTGTGGCACACTGGTGGAAAATCACTGATTTAAGGGCAATTCCTCCTTAGTTTATGTTCCTGTTAACATATTCACTCCAAGATTAAAGATTCTGTAGTTTTAAGTTTTCTTTTTTTTGCATTTTTCTATTTAATGGGTAGGGCCGCAGGAAGCAAATGTTTCCTGAATAGAAAAGGTGGGTGCTATGGTTAGCTCTGTGCCTGGTATTTTCAGTGAGTGGAGTTAGGAGGACAAGGACAATGTGTCATGGCTAGGTCTGAAGTATATTTCGTTCTGCTGCAATACATATTTTTGACATAAGAAACAAGGGGGTCACAAACCCTGGCGGGGTTGTCATCCTGATACATCAAGGTTGAGGGTTCTATCAGCAGTTAGAGCACATACAAGAAGCAACCATGTCCTGGCTGGTGTGGCTCAGTGGGTTTAGTGCCAGCCTGTGAACCAGAGGGTTGAGGGTTTGATTCCCAGACAGGGCACATGCCTGAGTTATAGGCTATATCCCCAGTAGGGGACATATGAGAGGGGAAACTCTCATATTGTGTAGGGGAAACCATGCATTGATTGTTTTTCTCCCTCCTTTCCCCGCTCTCTAAAAATAAATTAAAAATTTTAAAAAGAAATGAAAAAAGCAACCAGTGAAAGCATAAATAAGTGGAATGACAAATTGATGTTTTTTTCTCTCTCTAAAATTAATAAAAAGAATTTAAAAAAAGGAACATGGGGGTTACAAAATGCTAATATACTCATACCAGGTTTTAGTCTGATGGTCACCACAGTATTTTTAGTTATTTTTTTTGCACATGGCCTGACACATAATGATTTGTAGAATGAATAACACTTGGTGTTTCCTTTAATTTCCTTTTATAATGTTATACATATGTATTGCAGATTTTCTTCCATTACAATTTTTCAATTTTTCATATTATTGCATAGTCTGCATACATATATTTTATAAAGTCTTCGTAATATGTCTTTGAATGTGTTTTTTAAAATTTTTATTTATTTATCTTTAGAAGAGAAGGAGAGATGAGGAGAAACATCACTGTATGGTTGCTTCTGGTGTGTCCCCTGCTGGGAACTGGCCTGCAACCCAAGTATGTGTCCTGACTGGGAATCAAACCGTGATCTTTTGGTTTGCAGGCCTGCGCTCAATCCACTGAGCTACGCCAGCCAGGGCCTGAATGTGTTTTTCATCGTAACCATTCCTTTATTGTTGACTACTAACTGAATTAGTTTCATGAATTGTCATCATAGTGCTAATTGCTTATAACCAGTAATGAGGAGCTCTTTATTTCTGGAGATAGTGATGACCTTGTTCATAAAGCAATACTATTATTGTTAGAAAATCCTTTCTCTTTCAAAGGGCAGACATTTGACCATGTGATTTCCCCCCAAAAGGTCTAGTAGTTCGGGTTTCAAATCTCCCCTTGGAAAGATAGACAGCCTCCCCAGTTGCGAGGAAATGTAGATGGGCCTTTTCTCTGTGCCAGAACAGGCTGCGGCTCTCAGCTGGTGCCTATTGACCCCCAAAAGACTTGTACCCATATTTTGCAATGCGTAACACACACCCACATTTTTGCCCCATACTTTCAAAAGAAAAAAATCTTTCATTTTAATGTTTTAATTCAATTATTTATTTTTATTTAGAAACAAAACTGATTATCATATTCTAGGGTATTATTTTGCATACAGATATTATTGCTTTCTAGAGTTACATTTTTTAATGCATAAGCATAAATAAAAACATTTATATAGGTATGGAATTAGTACTACCCATGTATAATGCACATCTTTATTTTTTCCTCAAAAATGTGACCATTTTACACAGCAAAATACTGTACCTGCCAGAAGGACTACTTATGGTTAATTGGGCTCAATTTGTAATGAGAGTTCAACAACCATTGCTGATAGGAGTCTCTAATGCACTCTGCATTTCAGGTGAAAGCCACAGACGGAACTGATAGCTGAGTCTCTCTCATAAAGGATTTCATGAAATCATCTTTTAACCAATGGACTGAGCCCTACCTTGTTCAATTGGAACTGCCCAGCTACATTCGTATTTGCATCTTCACGGGCCAATCAGAGCAACTCTATAATGACCAATCAGAATGAGCAATTCTGACCAATCAGGACAATGCTATTTGGACCAATCAGACTGCAAATTTGGATTCCTCATTTGAATAAAAATGGACCAATCAGGAATGGGGCAGGAACTTTATACATTTCAGCCTCTTAGTTATGGTAGAGCACATTTTCCCTTTTCACTGTAGGCTGTGTCTCCCTCGTTTTCAAACTTTTCACCTGAGTAAAGTTTCTCCTTTTATTGCACCGCAGATTGGGAACTCGTGTTGGCATTGGATTGGTGGTAGCGACCCTTCGTGGACATGCGTCTGGGATATCAGAAGCCCCTAAAGCTGCTCTGGAGAAGGGCAAGAGATCAGAGGAGCTGGGAGCTGAGAAGACGAAGGAAACCAGCTAGGAGGGCTAGGCAAGGACAAGGCACTTTGAAACCGGTTATTTCTTTGGGTTCTCATAGGGAGCAGGTAGCACAGAGATTATTCCTCTTTTAAAGATCCAGAACCTGGCGCCCAGAAAGGGAAATTGACCTGCCTAAGATCACAGAATCCATTAATGTCAGAATCCACTACTCCCCATAAGAATCATTTATAGGCTTTCTAGTCACATTTCTTGACATTCACTGATTTTGGCTGCTGGCCCACAGTCTTCTTTAATCCACGCCTTTGTGATCACTCACAGCTGCTCTTATCTGAAAGCTGCAGCACGCTGCAGGATCTGACTACTGTTTCCTGTACTTCAGCCCCCACCACTACATCTGCTGCTGGGCCCCATTAGAGGCTTCTGCTCCTTCAACTGTTCCTTTTTTCCAATCTGCCAATTGCTTCCTGGCCTCGCTTTCCTGATTTGTGTGGTCAGCTCCCTTCACACCTTCAATCTTTTTTTTTTGCCTTATTTTCCTGATTATTATTATCCTCCCCAACACCTTCCCATCCCAACCCATTAATCTAAATATTTTGTTTCTCTGCTTTTCTAACTAGGTTCCTGCTTCCAACTGTATCTTAATCCTCAACCATCGGATCAGGTTTTGCTCCAATTCCCCGCATTAGTTTTCCCAAACCTTCACCTCCCTTTTCCTGTCTCCTACTTTCCACTTTTCTCCTTCCCCCCCTTCCCACCAGCAACTGATCTTGTCTCTTACTTTGTAGGGGAACTTTCACAAGATCCTGCTCCCTATCCTTTCTTTCCTTTCTTCCTCTTGGTTTTAGGATGCAGTGTTTCTCCTGTCCAAAGTGAATCCCTTCACCTCTGCCTTGACCTCATCCCCTCCCTCCACCACTGGGATCGTGCCTCACCAGGCATCTCTCTTTCTCTTCCGCATCCTTCCAGGTTTTGTTTTTTTTAACCTACTGGCCTCTTCCCTTTTTCCTTCCTAAAAACTGCTTCCTCAACTCCACATCTCCCTTTGGATATTGTCTGACTTCTCTCCTCCTCTTTTCATTCAAGTTTTTTAAAGAAACTCCTTCTGCCTCCACAGCACCATTGAAACTACACTCTCCCCAAAGACCTTCTAATTGCAAATCCAATGGATACTTTTCAGTCTTTATCTTACTGGAGACCACAGCTGCATCTAACATCACTGCTCACACTATCCTACTTAAAACCCCCTCCCTCCCTCCCTCCTTGGCTTCATTGAATCCACTCTCTCCTCTGATGCCAGGGCTGGCAGATTAAAAGTGGGTGAGGTGAAGACAGCTGTCCAGATCCAGCCTCTCTACTGTGTATGGCTTCCTTTACCCCCAGTAGGTGCTGTCCCTAAGGTCTTAGAATGTCTATCCATGGGCCCGGCTCTAGCTATCCCATACAGAGCCAGGTCAGATTCCAATGGCTTCCCCTTTATTGCTGATCTGGGCCAGGCTCACAGAGGCCTGTGCCAGGTGCTGACAGAGTCTGTCCCTGGAGGAGGGAAGAGCAGAGGTGAAAGGGTCAGGTATGGCGGTTAGAAGTGGGGCCAGGTTGGAGGCTGAATGGGCCAGGGAAACCAGGGGGACTAGGGTGGGAGCTGGGATGGCCAGAAGGCCCCTGCTTCTGTAGGACCTCGAAGTCAGAGTTGTTGATGATGGTTTCTTGGAGGGTAGGAATCTCTGCAAAAGGCACATAGTCTGCTCCTAGGGGTGGAAACCAATGCAGGTATGGGATGCAGGGGGTGAGGGGTGAGGGGTAAGGGGTTAGGGGGCGAGGTGGTCCTGGGTGGGATGGTTGAGGGTGGGAGTGCCTTTCTGCCTGACTTTCTGACTACAGACTCTGGAATGACTCCTTGTCCCAGGTTGGCCCCCTCACCGTGAGGCCTCCCTCCTCGTCGCCGGGTCTCTTCAGTCTCAAAGAAAGTCTGGTGTTCCTCCCAGCGCCGGTCACAGGCTGCACACAGGAAATTAGACTCAAAGCAGTTGCAGCAACAGCCTAGGGCAAGAGGACAACCCAGATAAGTATGGGGAAGTGGGGCTTCCCCACGGACTGACTACATTCTCATCTCTTCCTCACCAACTACAAAACCAAGTCTCTTCTACCAGCTCCCGTATCCTTATCCCCAAGTTATATGCATCCTATCCCCACTCATGCCCACCTCTGTACTCCCTTTGTTTTTGAAGGTACCTTTGACCTTGCAGGGATGGGACCCAGTAGCTGCATGGTCTTCATGGTTATGTTTGCAGCGACATTGGGCTCTCCACGCCTTGGGGTCAAAGGAGGCTCGTCTCCTGAGCCAGAACTGACCCACCTCCTCTGGGCGTGATGGGATAAAGCAGAACATGAGGCAGCGGCACTGGTTCACATTGCAGGGCACAGATATGTCTGTGGGAATGAGGAAGGGTGCTAGGGCTAGACCAGCACCTGGCGGGGCCTGGCCTTCCCATGCCAAACCCCTCCCCCATACTAACACACACACACTTTCTCTCATACGTCCCAAAGCACGACAGAGTCAGTTATTCCTCCTCACCTGACTTTGAGGGATAACTCAGTTCTCCCTACCTGATACGATCTGGTGCTCTCTCAACAAGTGTCCACAAAAGCACTTGGACTCATCCCCAATCCGGAAACAGTCCCATAGATAATGGGGGCAACGCCAGCCAATGTAGAGACCTGGGTGTGGTGGGATTGAGTATTAGGACAAATGAGAGGGAAAATAGCCTAAGCTCTTCAGGGCATTCTCACACATCCCCTCGTGGGGGTGCCTCACCTTTCCCCGCCGAGGTGTATTTTTCTCCACCCATGAGTCCTCATCCCTACCCCTTTCGATTTTTTTCCTCAAGCTTTTCTCAACCCAAGTGTTTCCGTTTCCTTCCCACTCTAGGGTCCACTCCAACTTTGTTAGCCTGTCAGAGATGACTGAAGACAGTCTTCAGTTTCTGAGCAGGAAGATTAGAAATAAAATTTTGCTTAAAGATGAACATGAATCTCAGTGAGTTCTCTGTTACTGTGGGGTTCTCATTTCTTCCCCTCCCTACCTTACAGCCCAACTTTGCTTGGTTTTTTTGAAGTCTAAGGAGTGAGGGAAGGAAGTTGATTGGCTGGGTGTGGAGGAGATGGTGGAGATTGGCTATGAAGGAGCAAGATTGTTGAAGGGACCCAAAGAGGAAGAAGACGTTGGGCAGACCAGGAGCCAAAAGGAGGGTTTCCCTCACTTTTTTCAGGTCAGCGCCTTCATACTTTCCTGGTACTGTTAGACTAAAGCTCTCTATGACCTTGAGAAGGGCTGCTTAGGGCTCTCCAAGGGTCAGGTGAAAAAGGTAGGCCAGAAGTCACGAGTGGTTGAGACCCAGAAATATCAGCTAGTGAGGCGAGGGAAGGAAGATGAGGCTAAGACACATCCCTGAGCTTAGGCACTAGCAAGAGGCCCCTTTAGACCCTGGTTTTAATAGTGGGATCTGAAAATGCCTGGCTTACACTCAGTCTCACCAGGAGACAAGGGTGGTGCTGCTGTGTAAATGTGGGAGGAGAACCAGAGAGTACCCCCCACTCAGATTTTCTCATCTTTCGTGAGACCTAAGAGTACCCCAACTTCTAGCCGAGAATCCTGTGTGAGTCCCATGTGGCAGGGCTCTTATTCCAATGAAGTGTCACCTCCACCAAGAAGTGCCCCGGACTTCCTCAGTCTGCGGACCCCTCTTCCTGCCTTCCATGGCCCCTTGTGCTACTCTTATCACAGTTAATGAACTGTTCACTTGTATTGCTGTTAGACTGGGAGTTCCTCCAAGGAAGCATCTGTCTTTTCGTCTACATCTCTAGTCCTAGCACAAGGCCTGGCACAAAACAGGTGCTCAGAGAACACAGACTGCCTGACTGGATAAGTGAATGAGCCAATTCCTTCAGCAGACCAGGCAGAACCCTGAAGTTCCATTGGGGAGGATATGAAAGAGTTACATCCTCTGGTCTTTGATTCTGTCTGGGGCCATAATCCACAATTCTGTGTCTAATTGTCAGGTTAGGTCTTCTTGTATTACCCATGGTCTCTCAGGGTCTAAAGTCTGCCCAGGTGTGGCTTTTGGCTTTGCTTCTTCTGTCTTGATGCTGACGGCCCGTAGTGCCGGGGCCCCATTACACCAGGGAGTCTTGGTTTAAAGGGTGGGGTATGGGTAGAGTCACAATGGGAATGGGTGGGGGCCAGCATTCTACTAGAGAAATTCTGAACTCACGGATGAGCAGGTGGGATGTGCAAGTGAACAGGGGTCAGTGCTCAGAGACCAAAGCCCAGCCTGGGATCCCGGGAGGCTCAAGTCCGCGCACCGATGCAGGAGCCCATGTCAAGCTTTCAGATGAGGAAGACTGAAGTTTGAGCAGGGAGACTGGCAAACTACACCTCAGACTCAGTTACAGGTGTCCATACCCATTAAGTGGGGCTGTTGACATCTGGCTGTGTATTCTAGAACGGTGCCCTCTACTCTGCCCTGATTCCAAATCCTCTTCCTGTTATGAGTGGACAAGGAGTGGCAGGGAGGAGACTTTATCTGGGATGCCATTTTGATTCTTGATCACATAATCACATGGTCACATTTGCATGTTGACATCTCTTCATGCTTGGAATGTCTCCATACAAGATACACCTGTTTTTACATGAAGGATGTCTCCAGCCCAGACCTCTCTCCTGGGCTTCAGACCCATGTAGCCAGCTGTCTACTAGACTCTTTCCACCAGCATGTTCCACAACACTTTAAATGTGTTATATGCAATCATTCCTTCCAAACCTGGCCCTCATCCTTTGTCCTCTGTTCATCCAACACATGCTTAGCAAGCATCTGTCGTAAACATTCAGTTAATGGCACCATTATCCAATCAGTTACTTAAGCCAATACTTAGACATCATTCCAGTCTTATTCTATGCATCCAATGATCCAAAGGTCAGTTTTGCCTTCTTAGCATTTCTTGAGCTTGTCTACTTCTTTCCACATCCACCCATTCATTCTTTACCTGGATTAGTACCAGTGCCCCACAATGTATTCTTCCTGTCTCCAGTTTTTGTCTTTTTCAAGTCTACCCTACTGCCAGAGTGCTCTTACAAAAACACAAATCTGTTCATGTTATTGTCACATTTAAAATCTTTCAGTGACTCTCAGTTGCCCTCAGAATATAGTCCCATCTCCTGAAGATGGCACCGAAATGCCTGCGCAATTCCGCCCTCGCAGAGATGAGTTGCACTACTCTGCCAACCCCCTGTGCAGCAGGCATGCTGCGTTGCTTAGCTTCCTGTGGTGCCTTGCCCTGCTGTAACTCACCATACCCCATCTTTTACCTGGCCGCCTCTTCTTACTCATCTTACAGATCTCAGCTGAGAAGTCATCCCTTCCAAGGTTTATTCCCCCAGTTCCCACAATTGGGCACCTGCCCCTTTTCTCCGTTCATGCAGCACTCAGGGCTGAGCTCAGTTATAGCAATTATTAGGACGAATTATTATTTTCCTTTTCCTTTATTGGTGTCTCTCATTAAAGTATAAGTTATCTGAAGGATTTTTTTTTTCTTGGAAACCCCGTCAGTATCACGACCTCCATGGCTAGCATTGAGCCTGGCACATTGCTGGTGTTCAATGAATGTTGAATGAACAAGGGAAAAGCTTACATGTGATATTTCTCTACAGAGCACATCTATGGATTCCCCAGGGACAGAAGATCCCCAGTATTAGAAGATAAACCCAAATGTTTTTGTTCAAAATTAAAGAACACTTATATTTTGGTATAAAAATGCCTGTTGACACCCTGGCTGGTGTAGCTCAGTGGATTGAGCGTGGGCCTCTGAACCAAAGGATCATGGTTTGATTCCCAGTCAGGGCACATGCCTGGGTTGCAGGCCAGTTCCCAGCATGGGATACACGAGAGGCAACTATCCGTTGGTATTTCTTTCCCTCTCTCCTTTCCTTCCCCTCTAAAGATAAATAAATAAAATCTAAAAAACATGCCTATTGAAACAGGAAAATGAAGAAGTTCAGTTTCAAGAAGTACAGTGGCCTTGAAGAGGGGGGAGTGGACAAGAGGTTCTAAGAAGGAGAATGAGGGTACTGAACAGACCCAACATTTACAAGGAGAATAAAAGTGGCATAACTTGTCATTGAAATAAGCAAACAAAGCAATGTCAGTAACTGAAGTAAGACCGAGAAACAAATGAGATAGATCACTGTGATTTTCTTGTCCAGAGGTGGAGGAGGGAGGTCCCTGCATGGGACTGAGGAAAGTAAGTTCCATGGAGGACAGAAGGACATAGAATTACCTGGCTGACTTTACATCTTAGGCCCATCTAGTTTTGTCGTACCTCTACTCCTGTCATAAGGAGGAAGTATGAAAATAAACGCAGTGACATATATTGAATTTGGTCTAGAAACCCCAGAATCCTCTTAGCAGGTCAGGGTGACCCTCTTACTGAAGTAACCCCTATAGATACAAAGTTCAGTTACATAGGTACACATGTTCACACAGCACAGCACGTGTTCTCACTGTACCTCCCACACCCTTTCTATACAGACATGGATATAAGCCACTAATGGGCCTGTCGAGAATACTCATTCCTGAGAATGAGAGCTGAGAGTTGGAACCGAGAGGGCTAGAAGATATGACTTTGCTCTTTGGTGGAGACTCACCGCTTTTGGATACCCAAGTGATCACGTGTCTCATGTTGAGGGGTGACTGCCTTTTAATGGAGTCCCACCAAGGGGACCAAGGCCTTTTGCCATGTAAGAGCAGTAAGTCACTTGGAGACTGTCCAGGTTCTCTTCCTTAGGGTCTGTTTGGTGCAGGTGATCTGAGCCTTAGATCTGGGACTGGATGTGTTATTAACAACTTCAGTTCTGCCATGTGTCCCTAGCTGGGCTTTATATGAATATCCCCACTTTCATCTGCAACTACGCCATCTACCTTGGCCCACCTGCCTGCCTCCCTCCCAGATTTCAGGCAGGGGCCATCGCCATTTCCACAAGGGGCAGCTATTCATTGAATGGACAAGTATTCAGAAACCAATGGATCAGAGGATGGCCCTGAACCTGTCAGAAGCCTCGGAAAGGCTTCTTGGTCTCACCTGTCTGGATGGCACTCAGGGCTGCATTCTTCTCCCACTGGAACAGATTTTTCACCTGAGCAGCAAACATCTCTTTGCGCACTGTGTTAGCCACTTTCACCATCTCTGCCTGCGTAGTAGGGACCACTGGGCTGACTCTGGAGCCTGGGAAGACAGGGGCAGAGTAATCAAGGAGAAGTGGAGACCCTAAAACTGAGAGAGGGGGTCAGACCGAAGATTAACCCAATCCCCTTCTCCTGAGGCAGGCGAAAGACAGTGATGAGGATGGGGAAAAGGGCAGGAGCAATTACGGCCAACTCCTTTCTTCTCCTTCTTCTTGACCAGATGATGTCCAGGCTGAGCCGCGGGAGTGGCTCTCTCAGTGGCATCCACCTCATTCTCATTCTCTCCTTCTTCCCTTTCCTTTGCAGATGTGTCCAGGCTGACCTGGGCTGAAGGGCCTGAAAGGGAGTGCTTTTGAAGGAATTCAGATTCAGGGACCTGCACGGATCTTCTCATCCGGGAGACATCACTGGAGGAGGACTCAGAGATGGGGCCTTCCTTCAGAGTATCAGAGGGAGACGCAGAGACATGGCCTGGTGATGCATTATGAGAAGCAAGCTGTTTCTCTGAGACCTTAGAGATGTGAATCTGCAATGGGCTCTCAGGGACAGAGTGTTCTAAAGAGGCCTTGGAGATAGAAGGCTCCAAGGGGGGTTCTGAGGTATGGGTCTCTAACAGGGTGTGGGAAGTGGAAGGCGTCACAGGAGATTCAGGGGTGTGGGGCTCTAAAGGAGTCTCAAAGATGGAGGGCTCCAAGAGGGTTTCCGAGGTATGGATCTCTAACAGGGTGTGGGAAGTGGAAGTCATCACAGGAGATTCAGGGGTGCGAGACTCTAAAGGAGTCTCAGAGATGGAAGGCTCCAAGGGGGTTTCTGAGATACGGGTCTCTGAAGGGTTCTGGGAAGTGGAAGGCTCCAAAGGAGTTTCAGAGGTAAGTGCTTCTAAAGGGGTCTCAGAGATGGAAGCCTTCAAGGGGGTTTCAGAGATAGGGGGCTCCTGTGAGTCTCTGGCAGAGGGGTCCTTTGAAGAAGGGTGCTCCTCCGCATCCATGGTGGTGTGAGGCTCTTCTGCGACCTCGTCTGCTTCCATCTAGTGGTAGAATAGGGTACAGGCTTTAGGCTGGGATTGGAGGGTCTGCAAGTCAGGGTTCACAGGCAGGAGGGGAATTAGGGTAAGTGCACCTGAGATATGAGAGGGGAGCAAGACGAACTCTGTATTAGGCTAAAAGGCCAGAAGGTTCAAGAATGTGTCCAGACCTCATGCAGCACCCTGCTGTGGGTTGTGAGGGAGCTAAACTTAAAGAATGAAAGGCTGAAGCAGACAGAATCCCATCAGTAGATGGTAGCAGAGGACCATGCCCCAGGAGGGAGCCTAAACATAGCAACTTGGCCAGTCCAAGAGCAGGGCTCTAGACATACCTTAGGACCATGGGGGGGTCAACCTCTGGAGTTCTAGAGACTAGGAATCCTAAGCCAAAGTGGGGGGTTTGCTCCCGAGGGTGCAGAAGGATGCCATGATGGCAGGGCCCTGGTCACAGTCTAGTTTTGTGTAGGGACCCCACACTCCTTCCTTTGATGATGCCATTCATGTTCAAAGCTTCAACTACTTCCAACTATACGCTGATGACCCCTAAACCCATAATTCCACCTCAGACCTCTTTAATCCCTGTGCTACACACTCATACCCAACTGCCTGCTGAACGTGGCCAAGTGGATGTCCTACAGGGCATCAGAACTGACTCTGGGAATTATCCTAGTTTTCTCCTTTTCCCACAGCCCTTCTCTTCAAATAGGCACCGAAGACTGTATTTCCTATCTTCTAAATATCCCCCAAATCCATTTGCTTCTCTCCTTTCCCTCCAATTTTGTTCAAGTTCTCAACATTTTCTACCTGGATTATGTATGATAACTTTGGCCCTCTGCTGCCTTCCCCAGCATATTAATCCACTCACCTGTTTTTTCACTGATTTATGTAATTTATACTTTTGTAAAGGGCCTAACCCTACACTTTCACTGAGACTCTGTGCTAAGCACTAGGCTCAGTTGAAGGAAGCTGGGAAGGAGACAGGTTAACCGACATGACAACACAAAGGAGCTGGGTAAGCCCAGGATGCTGTGGAGAGCGGGGCATGCCGAATTTGTCTTGGAAGTATGTCCAAAATGAGTGAGCGCTCCTTAATGACCCAACTGTAGTCTTTCTAAAATGCAAACTTGACAATGGCATTCCCTTGCTTTAAAATACTCATTGAGTCAATCTAAGGATTAAGGCTGAATTTCTTAATCCTGATGTTCAGGGCCTGTCATCATTTGCAACAGTGTCTAAGGCTTCCAGCCTTGACCTTCCCTCCACACTTCTTGCCCCCACCATGCTCCGGAGGTACCCACTACATCACTTAAACTCATCAGAGCCTTTCTGAAGGGGACGTTTGGGACAGGAAGTAGGTGAAGAGGTAGGATAATGGGGAGGAAGATCTTCAGAAGAGGAAAAAGGGACGGGGTGGGATGTGGAGGACTAGAGAACGGTAAGAGGCAGGGGTCAAGAACGGGATAGAGGGTAAGGATGAAGAGTAGAGAATGGCGTGGGGGTGGTACTGAGGGCAGGGACGGAAGGCGTTAGGAGAGAAATAGGATGTGCGCTTGGAGGAGGGGCCATAGGAAGCTACGTACCTCTGGGCTTTGGCTCGGTTTTTACAAGTCCTTAGATCAGGATCTTGTCTGAAGGTGGGACTGGGAAGTGTTAGCCCGGAGAGAGGGGAGGCTCTAGGTTGTGGATGGAACCCAGCTGCAGGGCGCTGGGTGGTGACAGGCCTTGTCGGCAAGCCTACAATACAGGGAGGACACCTGCAGAAATTAGCAAAGGAGCTCTAGCCAGATTTGGGGTAGGTTGGGAGGGGAAGGGATGAGGGGCGGATGGAGGGACTTGATTGAAGCCTCTGGAACCCTGGCCAGAAGAGAAGGGATCCGTCACCAGGGCAACTGGAACGCCTAGCAGTCTGGTCACCTCTCGGGTGGTGGTCGTCTCCTGAGGGTCTGCATTGGACCTGGAGCGGACGAACCTACAAGGGTACACTTCTTTTAAGGGGGTTTGTGGAATCTTTTTGAAAGTCTCTGGGTAGGGTTTGCGGAGATCTGCGGGGACGTCCGTGGGTGTCTGGGTTTGTGAGGGTCTCTGTAGTGTTCCCATGAGATGTTTGTGGGGCCGTCCCCGGGGCCTGTGAGGACTTGAGGGTACTTGGTGCCTGGGTTGGGAAAGGCTGGGGCTCAAGTAGCTGGGGCTGGGCGGAGCCTGTCCCTCGGAGCCCAGCAGGGACCAATCCGACTGACCGAGAGGCGGGGCGCCCGGTGACGTCAGGCTCAGGCGGCAGCCGCCGCCGCGGGGCCTGGTTATCGCCGGTTCAGCGCAGCCCGGAGTCGCCCAGGCCTGAACTCCTATCCAGGTCCCTGGCTCGGCCTCAGCCAGCCCGACCCCGGCCCCGGGCCCGCGAGCATACCCGAGGCCACCCCCCAGGGGTGGGGAGCGGAGCCGCGGGTCAGCTCTGCGAGCGCCCCGCGCTGGCCTGTCCGGCCCCGCCCCCGCCCCGGGCCATGGCCCAGCCCTTGTCCCGACCCCAAGTCCTATTATCCTTATCCCGGCCTTGGCCTCCGGTCCCTCCCTCGCCCTGCCTCCCAAAGCAGTCCCAGTCCGGGCCTGAGCACCAGCGAATGCCCAGGTCCAGGTCCCAACCCAGGCCCCCCGTCCAGTCCCAGACCCTGGCCTGGCCTCCACCCCCGCCTCTGCCCTGGTTACACCCCCTGACACAAATCCCAGGCCAGCTCCTGTCCCAATCCCAACCCCAGTGTTTGCTTAAACCCAGGGCCCACACCCTGCCCTTGCTCCAGTCCCCATCACAGCCTCTCCTTGCATCCCATTCCCTGTCCTTGTTGAAGCCCCAGTACCCAGCTCAGCCCGACCCATTATCTCAGCCTTTGCCCTCATCTCCGTGTTTACCCAAGTCTCTCCCACTACCCACCCCTCTCTCTCACACCCTACCCCTCTCCCAGCCTCGACTCAGGTCTGGGCTCCGGCTGCCACCAGCCCTGTTGCTGCTGTTGCTGTTTTCTGTCCTTGGCCCAGGGGCTGGTGAGTGCAGAAGCAGCAAAGGCTGAGGCAGGGATGGGCTTCTGGCAGGGAGGGGTGGACTGGAGCGACTGGGGAGAGGTGAGACCTTGATAACCAAATCATTGGGGGAAGAAGTGGGGAGAAACAGGGAGGAGAGGGTTCTTCTACATCCGAGAGGAACTGGTAGAGTCAGAAGAGAGGTAACAGGTGGCTTGATAGCACCGAGGGCAGAGATTCCAACGTTTTTTTTCCTGTTGTACATCTGACCCCGCTTTGACTCTTGCTTTTTTTGCAAAGAGGTCTCGTTCCTGCTCATAAAGTTCGGTAGGAGGACATGGCCCCACACCAGGCAGCCTCTAGTCCAGTGTGGGAAGAGCTAGCCTAAACTTTTGAGATATCGGGCATGCCTTAAAATAGGTTTATGAAAGCAGTTTTGAAAATAACATGTAGCAAACAGATGGACACGGGTTAGTCACCATTATAATGGGTTTTCTTCCCGTAATGAGTTTTGTTCCAAATAAGCTTGATTTGGCTAGGAAAAACTGATACTCTCAGAGCAGGCTTGAAACTCAGAGGCCGTTTTACAGACAGGGAAACTGAGGCTCAGCAGGGGAGCAATTTGCTCAAGGTCATATAGCTTGTAAATGGAAATACTGGAGCTAAAAGAGTTCCTAATTTCCACCCCACACTAGTGGGGTTTTTTCCCCACTGCAACATGTGCCTGATAAAGAGGGAAACAAACCCAAGTGGGCTCAAAGCACAATCTGCCCTCTCCTCTGTCTGCCCACAGGGAGGGGCTTCATCCACAAACTGGTCCTCATTTGCCAGCTGTCAGCCTAGGGCCACTGTCCTAGGGTAGTGGTTTGGTTAGGAGAGGGAGAGGTCCAACTTCTTAATGGGTGGGATGTTGGAGGGGTGGTCCTTGCCATAGGAGATGGGCCAGAAAGATGGCCCCATCCTAAGGCGATAACTGTGGTCTGCCTGGCGCCGGCCCTCAGCCACCCCTGGTGGGTGGCACTCTAGACAGGGTGGACATGTGCCTGAAGGAGTCTTTGGCAATAACAGCAGAGTAGCTGGGGGTGGGGGGTGGGTTTCAGTGAGCTCTGGGGTCTTGGTTCAGTGCACAAGCTGGGGAGATCAATGCATGTCAAAGGTCACCCCTCCTGCAGAGATGTCCAAGTTCACTGGTACCTGGATGCTTAGGTGCCTGAGTGAGGGATCTGTGGGAATGCTGGGCGTACGCACTGTGTGTACATGCTTGTGTGTTAGTGAGTGTAGGCACATGCATGTTGTATGGGGTGCATGTGAGCCTGTGTGTCCTCTGAGTACCCCATATTATTGTACATGCTGTGGCCCACACATGTTCCCTTCAGCTCTTCCTGCCATTGTAGATGGTGTTACCTTCCCAGCACATAGCTCCGTGTCTGGAGGCAGCATTGGATGCCTCTCAGAACAGATACAAGTGATCCATTTGCCCCCCAGCCTGACTCCTTCAAGGAAGGAGCCATAGAAGGACTCAGCGCTGGTTCCTGCTTCTGGGAAATGGGGCAATTAGCAGATGTCGTGGCATGTCAGGTTTTCAGTTGGGTGAAGGGAATGCCTACTGTTGGGCCCAGTTCATGGCTTCTTTGTTCACGAGCCCATTGAGCAAGCCGGAGCTGGCTGGGGGAGGAGAGTGCTGACAGCCACAGAGCCGTAGACAGCTGGAAGATGTGGATTAAAATATGGCTGTCCAGAAGCAGGTTTAGGTGGTTTGGGGAGAATTGTAATGAGGCCAGAAGAGAGTGCTGAATAGGCCCTCTGCAGGCAGGGCGACTGGAGCTGCTCAGAGTCACTGCCTTGGAAGCTGTGGCCTGGCCTGCAGGAGTGCTCTGTGACGTGGGGTGGGGGGTGGGGTGAGAGATCGTTGACTGAGGGGAGGACCACAGACTGTTGGTCTCAATAAATGCTTATTGTTGGCTTCAATCTTATTTCAGGAATGGAAGGTATCTCCTGGGTCTCCGGGTCCTACCTCAATCCTTGGGTCTTTTCCCTGGGCTCAGCTGACTGCATTTTCATAACCTGGGCTTGCCTTGCCATTCCAGAAATGACCTTTTGTTCTACCTACTGCTGTCATCAGCAGGGTCAGCCTTAGCCTCCGTGGGTGTGTGTATGTGTATGCATGTGTGTTTCAGGTGGTGGTAGACATTCCCCCGAGCTTCCCCTGGAATGAAGTACCAGGGCATCTAGGACAGGTTCATCTGAGCTTGCCTAGGGCCTTACTTGGGCTTCCTCTGGGACACAGCTTTGTTGGCCCTGGTGAAACCCCAGACCAAAGCTTGGTGTGAATGGGGCTGCGGATGCCTTCTGGAACATTTGCCCTTAGAACTTCTAGGTTCCCCCCCATCACCAGTTGCTGCTCACTCCCTTTTCCTACCAGCCTCTCCTGGGACCTCTACAGTCCCTGGCCCCTTCTGGAGTTTCCCAGTAACGGCTGAACTAGTTTCCCAGTATCCAGGCCATGCCATGTTGCAGCTTTGAGTCACAGGGCTCTGTGTGCTTGTCTGTCCATGGCTTCCCAAAGATTTTAGCTGCTTTTCAGGAACAGCTCCCTGAGAGTCTGCACAGGAGGCCTGGTGAAGATTTCTTCCTCACAGTAGCAATGGCTCGTTCTACGACCCATCCTGGTACCGGCTTTGGGGAGGAGAAGCTCCCGCACCCCAAGCCCAGGGCTCTGCTTTTTTGTGACAGTGGTATCCAGGCTATTCAGCTCTTGGCTCTCTGCCTGCCAGTTGTCATAGCCATGGCTCCGAGGAAACCTGTCCCCTCCATCCATTGGTTCATTTTCCTTCGTTCCTCTCCATACACTGCCACGGCTCTCTGAAGGCTGCCCTGTGAGCCACTGGTTGGTTCCTGGGCAGTGCTCAGCTTGCAAGGTGGCTGGTCTCCTTGCTGACAGGTGAGACTGACCATGTGGTCTGCACTGGACAGACTAGCCCTTGGGTGTAACAGTGGCCTTCGAAGATAAACTCAGGCCGGACTAGGGCCAGCGGCCCTCACCTCTCTGCAGGGTGACTCTTGAGGCTGCGGTTCAGTGGGTCTGACCTCACCCCGAGTTGCCTCCCTCAGCAGCCTCCCTCTCCCGATGTCTCATTCTGTTATTTCAAATACCTCATTTCTGGAGTCGTGTCTCCCATTCCAGAGAGGGGGACTGTAAGACTAGTTAGGCCCCATGTGTATTTCCTACTTGGCTGAAAACTCTGCTTCAGAGTCTCCCCTACCCACTCCCCCCACCCTGAAAAAAAAAAAAAAGCTGATTTCCTAACCTTCTTACCTGTCCTGAGGTCATCTTCTGGGTTTCTGGGGCTGCTCTTAAGTCTTCAGAGCAGTCAGATTCTCCAGAACTTTGCCTGCCATTTGGGACTCTCTTCTGTCCAGCTGAGTTACTGGGTTATTTTTGCTTTAACAGCAGTGCTAGCCCCCTTGTGTTTGCCTGGCTAGCTGCTGACAGCAGACTTTCCTGTTCACTTTGGCTCTGCTCCCAACAGCCATGCTCAGGTATCTGGGCATTTCACTTAGAGATGAGCCCCTCTCCCCTGCTCTGAATATGAACGTTCCCAAGTGGTTGAGATTCCACCACAGTCCCCAGCTGACTGCCTTCCTGGGCCTCCCTCCGGGAAGTGCCCTCAGGCTACTCACTATGAATCCCAGAGGGCCTGGTGCCTCTCCTCTTCTCCCAGGGGCTTTTGTGGTGGCCTGCCAGCTCCTGTCCTTGCCTCTGCCACCCAAGAAGGCCCCTTGCAGACTCACCACACTTTCCCCTCCCCCTCCTGCCCTGAGCCAGTATACAGACAACTTTTGTGAAGCTTCTGAGGTTTTTTCCTTCTCCTGACCACAGGGGAATAGAAAGGGGAGGAAAATAAACAAGAAAGTTACACAGTTTCAGGCTGACTCCCCAGCCCCACAGGTGGAGTTCCAGCCCGCTCAGAGGCCTGAGAGCCCATGCCAACACACGCAGGCGCATGCTCCCGTTCACACCTCTGTTTTGTTAGGCTTAGTGAGAGGAGAACAATGACTCCTAAGTGCGGGGTAGCTGTACAGTCCTGTAAAGAGGCCTGGTCTTGGATTTACGCAGATCCAGGTTTAAGCCTCAGTTTCCTTATCTATAAAAACAGGTCATTTTTTCAAGGTCATTGTAAAGACTAAAGCCGACGATGGCGAGAGCCACCAGAGAAGAGCATTTGTTGAGTTGGTGCTGTTGCTGAGACTGGTGTGCCTGCCGCTTAACGGACATGCCCTGTGTCCTTCCTGCCCCTTTCTTTCTCACCTGCTCCCAGGAGGCCTCTTCCTGACCGATTACTCCACCTGCTCACCCCGCAAGCTGAGTCCTTTCCGCTCCTTTGCCAGCACTGAACTCTTCCACTTCCACGTTCCTGAGGACACATTCCTGGCTGTTTGGAACCTCATCATCTTCAAAGAGCAGGGGGGGTCCTTTGGGGACCACTGCCCAGACCAGAGTGTGACCGTGTGAGTGTACGAGTTTACCTCCGGGCTCCGCTTCTCACCCCAGACCACTGTCCGAGCTAAAGTGTGACTTTATGAGTACCTAAACTGACCTCCTAACCCTGACCTCTGACCCTGGTTGAGATTGAAGTATGACTGAGGGCCAAGCCCTCTGCTGCCTGATGACTTTGTTAGTACTGTTCGTGTGAGCTCCTGAGCGGACCTTTTGCCCTGTCTGTGCTGACCCCGGACCTGGCACCGCCTCGTTGCATGTGTCAGTGTAGGGAGTCTACTTGTTTGCCAGTGACGATGACAGTTCTCCCTTTTCCCCATTTCCCATCCCCACCTCATTGCCTGCTCTCCTTCTCTCCTCATTCTGGTCCCCAGGTATTTCCGGTCCGGGGCACCCCCTGTCATCAATCCCCTGCACACACACTTCCCAGGGGACACAGCTGTGCCTGGGGTGTTCTCACTGACCCTCAGCTGGACCCTGCCCAACCGCACCTCAGGCATCTTTAATGTCAGCAGCCCCTTACCTGGGGACTGGTTCTTGGCGGCCCACCTTCCCCAGGCCCATGGCCACATCTCCGTCAAGGTGGGTTGATACTGTCCAGGGCAAGAGGGGCCAGAGCTGCTTCTCCATCTCTGCTGAACTCCTCCCATGGGTTACCTGGAGCACCAGCTTGTACCAGGATGGGCAACAGCATCATGGTGGCCGGGGTAGAGACTAGCTAGAGGCCAGCAGGTCCCTCGATGGGCCAGAACCCGTGATCTGTACCAGGCAATTTTGTAGCCTTGGAAGGACATGGTGGGTCCGCGTAAGCTGAAGGGAAAGTCCAGAGTCTGTAGTCAGTCAGAGGCCCTGGCATTGCAGAGTAGTGTCCCTTCCTGTGGGAAAGTGCGGGAGTTCACCGAGGTGACTAGAAGTCAGCTAGGGACAAGTCAAATGCTGCTGCACAAACCCAGGATAGCCCTGCAGACTCAGGGCTACAGCCCAGTTGTTAGTCCATCCGGTAGAGCACATTCCTCCTCTGTCATAGTTTCAGCTCCCTGCACCCCCTGGAAGGCTGTGTGGGAGCACTCTGGGGTAGGGTAGTTCTTTCTTGGTAAGGGGAGGCTTTGGGGAACTGGTGTCTGTCCTGTTGCCTCCCTGTCCTCCAAATATCTGCACTGGTTTCACAGAGCAGAGGTGGTTAGAATCTGAAGTGTCCGTTCAAAGGTCAGAGTGCTTTTTCATTCTGGTCGGGAGGGGAAGGAAATGCCACAGAGTTCTGCTGCCACTCCTGGGTGTTGGGAAGAATTCTTACTTGTAGTGAGAGGATCTATAGTTTTACTCCTGTCTGTTGGTAGGAAGAGAAGGTGTGATAAGCTGGTCATTGTCAAGAGTGAGAGGACTGAGAGTAAGCAGAGTGAGGATTTAAAGAACAGGAAAGCCGTCAGGGTTTGGCTGCTGAGAATTGAGAGGGACAGAGATTCCCAATCAGATGAAGGTTCGAGTCAATGACAGTGCTCCAGGCTGAGTTCCTTGAGGGAGGGGCTCTGTGACTTCATTAGACTCACCTCTCTTCCTCCTACTGCACCTGAATGAGCTGAGAATCGCACAGGGCCCAGTGTGCTGGCACTGCTGCTTTCAGAGTGGGGACTAGGGCTGAGGTGGTGTCTGGAGACCTCGGCGATAGGCCTGCTTTTCCTGAGAGCAATGCATAAAGAACTTCCCGTCAAGGTCTGGGAGCCCCCTGGGGGAGAGTGTGTTGGGAGCTCCCCTGAAGATGGCTCTGAGGTCTAGGTAGGTCTCGATTCTCATCAGAACCAAGTTAGGATTATTCTGTTTGCAGGAATGTCATATGTCTTTGGCCAAATTTTGAAGAGCCTGTTCCTGATCCTAACTCTGATCCCGGCTTCTCTTTGTGAGGACTGACAGGGAAGATCCTTCTGAAGCCCTGCTGTGATGACTCAAAAACCTTTCTGAGTGATCAGGAGGAGCCGGGGGCGCCTAGACCCGGCTGGTATTATGGCGGCTGAAGTCCGGTTAGAAAAGGTCAGAACCAGGTTTAGCTGACATACCCATTTGCAACCAGATGTAGCAAGTGGGGCCCGGGGGACTTGGTACCGCAAGCTGGAGCCCTAGTCAGCAGAGCTCCCTGGGGTGTGGTGAGATTTGAGAGGAGAGGGCACAGTCCCACCTTGCCCATGAATGGCAGCAGACCTGGACGCCGTGAGAGATGCAGCTTTTCAGTCAGGCCTGTTCCAGAGGCTCAGAGGGTGGGAATGGGGTGAGGTGGGGGTAGGGAAGGAAGGATCACCCTCGTGGTCCCTCTGAGAGTTTGATTACCTTTCGGAATCTTAAATGGGCCTCTAAGGATTCTTAAGTTGTCTGGTTAATTGCTTAGATTTAAGCCCGTGGGTAATTGTCTAGAACGTTCCTCCAGGGCTCCATCTTCTTGAGTTGCTTCCTCCTTATTCCAAGTCTTGACTTCCTATGCAGCTTGGCCAACACAGGAAGTCATGTGCATTCAAGGATATCTTTGGGTAGGGACTGAAGAGTCCCAGCAACAAGAAGGCAGTGCTGTTTCTAGGGCTTTTCTTAGCTTCAGGGGTGAGTGCAGACTTGCCTTTAGACCTTAGTCCTGGAGCACCTGCTTTGTCCCAGGCCATGGGTTGGGTGCTTCAGACACAAGTACATAAGATGTATATTAGGAGATGTTTTAAGAGGACAAATGAGAGGTGGCTAATTCAGCTTGGTAGTGTGGTGGAAGTGGTCTTAGGTCACTGTTAGAAAGTGAGGCCTGAAGTAGGGAAGGCAGGGAAAGGCATTCTAGGTGGTAGGGTAGCCTGGGCTAAAGCCTGAGAGCTGGAGCAGTTGTGGAGCAGTTGCTGGGATGGGTAAGGGAGGTGGAGGGGTGGGAAGAGGCCAGATCATGAAGGGCCTAGAAGTTTGAACTTCATCCTGACAGTGACAGAAGGGAAGAGACTTGTCTGGTCCAGGCCACCGTCCTGAGCCCTGGTCCCACACTGCTGCTGGCCCCCATGTCTGTGGTATTTGCTCATGTGTCCCAGCACCCAGCTCAGAGGCTGGCACACAGTGGGGGCCGGGCAAGTTTGCATTGCCCCTCTGCTATCTTCTCAAACTCATACTGTCCAAGACGTATCTCACTTCTCCTCCTTTCCTTTCCCTTTCTTCCTGTCAACCTCTTCCATCGTGACCCATTCCTTCTGTCTCCTTGCTTTTCCTGTCTTGGAACATGGGCTCATCCTGTGGTGCCCAGCTGCCAGTCTGCTCTGAGGGGCAGGCCTTCGGGCTGTGGGTAACGCCTGGCACCCAGTGGCTCATCGGGGAAAGTCCTGCGAATGTCTGGGGCGTAGTTCTCCTTGAATGTCTCCTTTCTCCGGTCCAAGGTCTGAAAGTAAATGAAAGCAGGTAGAATAATGACAACAACCATAAGGAAACCAAAGGAGCAGATTGTATAAAAGAAAGGATTTGGCCGAATCCACCAACTAGGACGAAGTGTAGCTCAGTATGTCAACTGAAGAGGTTAAAATCTGCTAACAGTGCTCATTCTGCTCTTCCTCCTCCTCCTAAATTATTTTATTTGTGTTTTGATTAGGTCATACATGCATCTGGTACAACATTCGAAAGGTACAAAAGGCAGTGAAAAGTAAGTTTTCATCTTCCCTTCAGCTCTTCCCAGTCCTTACTTCCCCTTGCCAGAGTTAACTAGTAACTAGACGTTAATAAGTTCCTTATATTTATTACTCTTCTCTTCTTGAAAGACTCTGGCCTTTGTGACTTTACAGAACCGTCCTGGTTTCCCTCCTGCCCACGCCCACTCCTCCTCTGCCTCCTTTCCTGGCATCTCCTTTGCTTGATCAGACGTGTCGTGGGGGCCCCAGTGCTTGGTCCGGGGACAACTCCTTCCTTCTTTGTCCATTCTCCTGCTAGGGGTCTGCAGAACAATGGTTTTAAGTACCATCTACAAGTGAATGCCTTCCAGGTGTATTCAGTGAGTTCTAATTTCTTTGAATCTCAGACTTTATGATCAACTACTTACTTGACATCACCAATTAGATGTCTCAGAAATGTCTCAGACTTGACATGTATATATCAAAACAGAGCCAAAAGTAAAAATCTCTTCAATTTCCATTTCGCTTCTTCCAGTCCCGAGTCTTTCCTTCCTCTAGTCGTTTTCTCAGCGAGGGGCGCTGCCATTCACCAGTTGCTCCAGCTCCAAATGTAGGTGTCTTCCTCTTCCCGCCTTATTTCTCTACAACCAATTCACAAAGTCTCGTTGACTCTACTTCTAAAGCGTGCCCCGAATGTATCGCCTTGTCTGTTTCCACCCTTACCACACCTACCCTCATCTTCCTGTTGGGCCATTACAGCAACCTTTCAAGTGGTCTCCCTGCTTCCACGCTTGCCCCCTGTCGTCTGTGCAGCATTCATTTACTTCCATGTTGACCACCTCTGACTGATGGCAGGTCAGGGGCTGTGCTGGGTACAGGGATGGTCCGATGGAGAAGGCCAAGTGTTTTTGGGCATCTTTAGTCTGTAAGCCCTATCCAGAGCCTGGGACTGGCTACTCTGCTCAGGCAGAGGGTTTCTTTCTAAAGAAACCCAGGCCGTCCATACCAGAACAGTCTAGAACTCAGTTTAAGGCCTTCTGCTCCAGCTTCTTGCAGACCATTTTGTTTTGCACCCACTTCTCACTTTTGACCCTTGTGGTTTCTCAGGTTTCCTGGCTTTGACCTTGTTCCTTCCATGACTGCTGATGTTGACTCTGTTGCACTCTCACTTGGCTTCTGTCTTGGTGGCTCTGGAGGCCCTGAGTTCTGGTGCCCTCTTTCTAGCCCCGTCACTGGGCGAAGGTTGCTGCATCTCTGCACCTTCCCTGGTCTCCGCTGACTGAATGAATGCTCCCCTCTAAACTAAGGGAGGAGTATTAGATGGGCATCTTCTATAGTTTAAGGAAGGAGCACATCTTAACCACTGAGGTGATGTCCACTGATCCTTCAGTTAAGCCAATAGCAAGCAAAGTGTGGAGCAAAGTTTTTCTGCCCCCAGACTGTCCAACAAGGAAACGGGCCACCTCCTGATCATGGGCCCCTGCCCTGGGAGTTCGTCCACCACAAGGTTACTGTGGGCGATCCCTGTGGAAGCAAGTGAGGTTGATGAAATGACTTGTGACAGGAGTCCTGGTCCTTAGAGTTTGACATCGAAGATGAGGAACATCTGCTTTGGATATCAGAGATTGAGGTCTCTGAGCTGGGAGGTGGGGTCAGGAGCTCTCCGAAGGCACACTCTTTTTGATATCCATTCTTTAACTCAACAGATATTTTTTTTAGCTCCTAGTGTTTGCCAGATGGTGTGCTAGGCATTAGAGATGCAGTGATGCAAAAAATCACAGAAAAATTGCAGGCAGAGGGAAATGGGATTTTCTGCCCTGGCATGCACTGAGGCCTCCTGTGAGCTGCGGGGAGCTCTGCTGGAAGTGTGTGCTGTGGCCGGCTTGTTCCACGGCATGGAGCTCAGTGGGGTGTCAGAGCCTAGGGCAAGGTTTAGAGACATGTCTCAGTCAGAATAAACACTTAAGTGGAGAGTGGCCTCTAGTTTATTGGGCCGGCACAAGGTCGTTTGTCCAGAAGACAGGAAAACCTAACCAGGAGGCCCCTCCACCCTGAACTGCCACAGCAGCGGGGCTCAGATAGCTGCAGGCGCTGCAGAAGCGGAACAGGAGTGAGAGAGGCTGTGCCCACTGAAGAGTGCTGAGGCCGCGCGGGCCAAGGGTGCTGTCAGCTGAGGAGGGTGCGGGATCTGATCCAGAAGGCCACTCAGGGGCATGTGGCTGTTCTCCAGCCCCGTCTCTTGTCAGAAGGAGCAGACGTATCTGTGGGCCCCTTGAGACAGAGCAGTGGGAGAGGAGACAGAAGGTAGGCTTTGGCTTCATCAAGATAAGAGCTTCCCCCAGTCGGGTTGATTTGTTTTCTTTTTTTTTTTAAAGATTTTATTTATTTATTTTTGGAGAGAGACAAAGGGATGGAAAAAGAGAGGGAGAGAAACATCGACTGGATGCCTCTTATAAGCTCCCACATGGGGACCTGGCCCGCAACCCAGGCATGTGCCCTGACCAGGAATTGAACTGGCGACCTTTCAGT